ACTCAACATGTCTTTATGAGTTACTAGCGAACACTCTCTCCAACATCCTTTTAATAGGCACTTTTCTAAAACTAGTGATATATCCAACAATTTTCTTATTACAAATTTACTCTTCTCCACTATTCACTATTCATTACCCACTACTTAAAACTTTTTTTTTCGTTTTATTTATTTAAGAAAAATATATATTTTGTTTTCAACAATTTTTTTTCCAAAATCAACTAAAATATTTCTAACAATCAACTACAACTTTTCGATTTTGTTTTCATTTCATTTTTGTTTTAATTCATTTTTTCCGATTTTGTTTCCACCAGATGTTACCAAATTGACAAATTAGTACATACTATCGAAAAAAACTAAACATAAATTAACTACGTATTTTTTTTCATTTGTTTTTTCAATTTTTATTTTTCCAGCAGTTCATATTGCTAAAACCATATAAAAAATCAAATATTAACTAAAACATGTCGAATAAATAAACAAATAGTAGAATAACGAAAGCAGCTATAAAAATAGCATGATAACAAAAACAACTATATTGATTTTAAAGCTACCCAACATCAAAAGCATCACAAAAAAAATTTAAAACAATGGCGGCTGGGCAGATGTGGAAGGCGGAGGCGAGCGAAGGCAAGGTCACCATATCCGACGGCCGCAAGGGCGGCATTAATGGAGCGGCAACGTGGTGCTAGGGGCGAATGAAGGTTAGGCAGAGGTGGAAGGGGGTGGAGGTGACAGTCGGTAGAGAAAAATGAGGAAGGGGAAGAAGAGAAAGAGAAGGAACGTGAAATATGATTAGGTTGGTTTAGAAATCAGAAATTTAAGAAGATTTAATTATTAATGGGTAGGTTAGTCATGTCAAGTACAATTTTAATTAAAAAGGATTTGGTTAGTCATGTCACCATATCCGACGGCCGCAAGGGCGGCATTAATGGAGCGGCGGCGTGGCGCTAGGGGCGAATGACGGTTGCGCAGAGGTGGAAGGGGGTGGAGGCGACAGTCGGTAGAGAAAAATGAGGAAGGGGAAGAAGAGAAAGACAAGGAACGTGAAATAGGATTTGGTTGTTTTAGAAATCAGAAATTTAAGAATATTTAATTATTAATGGGCAGGTTAGTCATGTCAAGTACAATTTTAATTAAAAATGATTTTGTTTAATAAGTGGGGTTTAAAAGGATTTGGTTTAATAAGTGGGGTCTCACTAATATTAGAAAAAATATTGGGTCCACCTTAATATACTCAAATGTATTGGGGGTTTACACTAATAATCCCTTAAAAGAAATGTCCATTTCCATATTTCTATTTTAGAAAGAAATATGTGAAAATCGCATTTCAGATTTGTCCTTAAACTTCATAAGAAACCTCCGAACATATCTGGATAGAATTATTCTTATGTTCAAAATTATCTTCAACCACTATTGATGCCTTCAAATCTACAGTTAGATCAACGATAGGGTCCACAATCAGAATATCTTCAATCATTACATCCATCTCCTTCTTCTCTTATTTTGAGGCATCTTCGGCGTTTAGCTCGATTGCCTTCTCAGATTCTTCATGCTCAAGTGTCTTCGTAATTTTTATTTCTCTCATATCGACTTTATTTTGTGGACATAGAAGATTTTTATCACCACGGGCTTCACCTGAATTTTCTTTGATATAACCATTGCCGATTTCATCTGGAATATATTCAAGAGAGACATATTTTAATTTGAGCGTCATCTCTTCCAATTGTATCTCCATGTTTTGAAATGATGCTTGGGTGGACTTCATAATTTTTTTGCAATGAGGGATACCAGATCAAGTTGTTCATTAGTGGTTTGTTGCTCCGATGGATAATAATTTTGAAAATAATAAAATTGTGGCTCTTTGTGCTGAAACTCGTTGAAATATTGGTCGTGTTGGTGTAAGTGTTCAAATAACCGCTGTTCGTAATTTGGACGAAATTCGTCGCATTTGGTGATCCCCAACACTGATCTGTGTAATGATTTCTACCACATGCTGAACAAAACAGAGGCATACCATAGGTGTTTTGGAGGTATTCGCGAGATGGAAGCCATTCATATCCCGTTTCTAGTGCCCCAAAACATTGTAACCAGACATGTAACAAAAACAAAAATCTCAAAATTAGAAATTAAAATAAAAATAAAAATTAAATGGCTGAAGTAAGAAAAATGTTCAAACTCGATATCAGAATAAATATATAATTTAACCGTATTCCCCGGCAACGGCACCAAAAACTTGTTGGGCTAAATACCCACACGTATCGCAAACAAGTAGTAATAGTGGACTCGTAAGAGTGGGATGTCGATCCCACAGGGAATACTCAAATTACCTAATCCTAAGTACCAAATTTTAACAATTATGATTTTTTATCCAGCCTATGCAAGGTTGTCAAATTTAATCAACTAAATAATTAAACTAATTATGAAAGCAAATTATCACGAGAAAAATATCAATGAAAACGGACCTAGGATTTTATCTTCCCCCAATGTGATAATTCATCGCCCAATTAAACTTATATCATGCAAGTTACGATTCATGATTATTAAACAAGAGACACTAAATTACACATAACCCGCTGTCGCGTGTATAAGTCTATTATTCATAAACAATGCATTATATGTCTATGCAAACCAAATATGAATAAAACATTAACTAACAAGTCTCGTAAACGCTACCTAAGGTGATATATGTATGTCTACGATAACACATGGAATTAACACACTTATCCGGTGCAAACTACACGAAGGCTCTTCTATCCTTGTTCTCATTATTAAAACGATCTGTCGATTTAATTCTAACAATAACACATAGAAACATAAATTAGATAGGTTCATGCACTAAATAAGATCAGATAGAAGAAATAATCATGAAATGTAAACTTGCATAATATTAGAAAAAATAGATTCAAATCACCACATAGGGTTCTAATAAAATCCTAGATAACTTAGCTACTCGTAATTCTTATGATAAACAAAATAGAATAAATAAAATAAATAAAATAAATAAGATAAACTATGCTTGAGTCTTCGTTGATCTTCGTTCTTCGCATTTTGTGGTGTAAAATTTCGTGCTTGTGGTGTAGAGATTTGTTGCTTTTATAGGCTTTTTTTGATAAGGAAGTAGTGGAAAACTAATAGGAATCAATTTCTCGCACTTTCCCCCATCAGGATTTGTATTTCGATTTTGGCCATGTAGGGGTCCGAATTATGGAATGTTGCACGAAATAAGAATTGTAGCCATCGAAACTAGCTTCCCAATGCTGCTTGAATTAGGTGATTCGGAGTTCGTATGAGAGAGATATGCTCGAAATTGTGGACACTGCCAAAGTTGTGGCTAGATTCCTTTGATTTATTTCCTTAGTTGCAATTTTTTCCTTTTTTTTTTTATCATTTTTCCTTCATGGACACTTAATTCTCGTTTATCACCTATTAAACATTAAATAAATCAATTAAAACACAAATATAATTAAATCTAAACAAAAGATCCACGTAAAGTAAACGTATTGAGTGTAAAATCTACACTCAATAATGTCAGGTGTAGCAACACTACGGGTTTCTTCTACCATGCCACAAAGAAGATCGGCGTTTCAGGAGAAGTGCTTAAAAGATCTCGGGAGAGGTCGATCCGCTCTCTGAGGAGGGTTCAACATTGGAGGCATTCAAAAGTGCGGATGGAAGAACTGATGTGAAGATCAACAAGTTCGAGTCATGTGCAAGAACGACGTATAACATAAAAGAGGGAGTCTTTTAGTGTTTTTATTAAGCCAATATTGTACACTTAAATTTGAACTAGTAAAATCTTGTTTGCAGGTGCTTGTGGATGTAGGGTACATTTATATCCGTAAATTTATTAACAGCAATATGTCTCAACAATAATCTATGTTACCAATAATATGTTTCAACGCAAAGACTAATTTCTATAGGCAAATAAAATAACACTTCCCATAAGCTTTTAGAATATTTTTTGTTAGAATTTATTTCGTGCAGATATAAATTATTTGTGTCAGATTCAGTTTTTCGTTACTGTTGCGTGAAGTGTTGCAACAGTTCGTGAAGCAGTTCGTAAAAACAGAAATAAACGAGACACAAATTTTAATGTGGTTCGGATACAATTGTACCCTACATCCACGGGGACCTGCAAATGAAATTCACTAATTTTTAGTTTTACGAATACAGTAATAGGACTTAATCGAAAATGCAAAGACTCCCTCTTTGTCGACGCCGTTCTTGTATCCTACGCTAAATTGTCAATCTTCACTTTTGCAGTACGTCCCTTTCCGCACGGTTGAAATTCCTTCAACGCTGAGTCCCTCAGTCGGCGGATCGACCTCCTCCCGAGATCTTCTGAATTCTCCTCCCGAAGAATCGATCTTCTTTTCGGTGAAAGAAGCAAAACCTTTCTCTGTATTTTCTTCTTGGATTACGATCAAAGGTCTGGGGCAGCAACGTAAGAGCAGAAAAGAATTTTTTTTCTCTCAAAAATAAAAGGGACAATCGATAACCACGTTGATGCTGCCTTCTTATATTTCCTTTTGTTGAATTAGTAGAGCCCTACACAAGAAATAGAGCCCATTAGGTTAGATATAATCTTACGTAAGGAAAAAGAGTTATGCAAACAAGGAAAGTCTTATTCAAAGGAATTCCTTGTTAATAAAACACTTAGGTAATTAAATAAATTAATGACAAAATAAGAGTTTAAAGAACTAAGGAAACTTCCCTAGTTTTTATACACGTTTTTCGTATACGTCATGAAAAACCGAAATAGAATCCTCTCGGATTCTAACAATCTCCCCCTTTGTCATCTATTTATTATAATCAAGTCCTCCCCCTTAATCAAAAACCTGACAAAAACATTAGACTGCATAAAAGAGTAACTGTTAGAACAGTTCAAAAACAAAACAACAGTCAAAAGGAGAGCAGAATTAAGCCTATCCGACTATTACAGGCCATTGTTCAGAAAACAAATTCAACAATCAAATAAAACATAACAAAAGGAAAAATTAATCTAGAATGTCCTCGGCATCAACGAACAGCTCTTCTTCATCATCGGTATCTTCCTCAGCTGTTGCACCACCAACTGTTGGAACAGTTGGAGCAACAGTTGGATCATCAGATCCAGCAGCAGCAGCAACTCCCCCTGAACGAGATATCTCCTGATGAGCTGCTTCGTGGCGAACTCCCCCTGAAGTGTCTCCCCCTTTCTGAGCAAGGGCTTGAAGATAGTCGATTTTTTTCTTCAGTTCATCGGCTCTGGCGATGGCGGCCTCATATTCTGCTGAAAGAACAGAGATAACGTCTGAAATTATGGGAGCGGGAGCAGAAGGAGCAGCTTGACGACCGGAAGAGGAAGATGGACGACATGGCAAGTCATCCACACGGGCCACACGGCGAGAATCGGAATGAGGATCCACTATCTTCGAGGAGACAGAGAGAGGAAGTGGGAGAGACGGAACTGCGTTCTTCCGATTTTTGACGTAGCCTTGGTCAATCAGTAATCGGTAGATCAACGAGGGAAACGGAAGAGAGTAGGCAGTCGACTTAGAATCGGCTTCGGCCACGATTTCTTCAAAGATGAATTGTGCAAGATCACATGGGATTCCACTTCCAATGTAGTACAGTAGAAGTCCCCGTCGTCGATTCAGAGTACCGTGGTGAGCAGTGGGGAACCAATTTGTAGTTCCAATGCCGAATAAGAGCCGGTACTTCATAGTAAGATCAGTCGTCTGGAGAGGCCATGAGCGCATCTTGCCTCCAGTGAGGGTGGATATCAAGTCAGAATCATCAACTGTCGGAGCCACAGTTCCAACTGTTGACAGATCAAAAAGAGAGGCAATACGAGTAGGATTGAACTCGTAGACTCGATTAAACACATACACCCGTTCGTAAAAACAACTGCGACTATCGGAGACTCCACTAGTGAGGTTTGCATAAAAATCATGAATTAATTGACTTTCGAAGTGAGAAAATCGAGTCACAGTAGCAAGAACACCAGCACTACGGAGTAGATCAGGAATACCAAAAGCATCAAATGACGGACCTAAGGGACGTTCAGAGACAAAAGGTCGTCGACTTACCAGACGCCATCGGATTTGATTCGCTCGGAGAAAGAACCGAGAATTAAAGGCATCGACGGCAGATATAGGCACCACGGGATCGGGTGCAGAGTCATCAGAGGTGGTGGGTTGAGCGGAAGACGAGGCAGAGTGAGTAGCACGTCGACGGGAGCGACGGAGCGGCGGTGGTGTGGTGGCACGTCGTTTAGACGAAGAAGACGGTCCCGTGGTGTTCTTTCGTTTCCCCATGAAGATGTTCCTTGATTTCCTTCGATTTGGTGGAATTGTTTTTGAGATTTTTTTTTTTTTTTTTTGCTGCAACCAAAAAGACGAAACAGAGAGCAGGAAGGAAGAAGAAGAAAGGAAATTTGGGGAAAATAAAAAAAGATTGTTGGGCTTCTTATGGGTAGTTTAGCAATTAGGAAAAATATAGTGAAAAAATTGCAAACATTATTCTGCCAACAATGAGAGCAGTTAATGAAAACCAAAATCAGAGATAGCAACTCTCAAACTTCACATATGAAGCCCAGCACAGTTCAAGAAAACTTCGAGAAAAAAAATGCTCAGAAAAGTGGGTGACTTCAAAAAAAATGATTGCCGCCAAAACATATACGAACCCACCCCGTTTTTTTTTTTTTTTTTTTTTTTTTATGCCTAATATGCAGAATTAAATAACTAGGACGAAAAAAATAGACGTGAAGGAACGAAAGAGAATATGAGTGAGTAAACACGAGTGAATAGGATACTATTAGGACTATCAAACCCATGGGGTTTATCTTCAATTTTAACAGAAAGCAAGCTCCAAAATACAAACTAACGAGACTAACAGAAAATTTAATACCCTCAAATCAAGCACAAAAACGCTCTTATTAGGTAGCATACACACCCTACTAATGGTAGCTTTTTCATGAAGAGCAGAGCAATTTAATTAGCGAGATAGTTGTAGTCGTGCAATGTGTAGTCCCCTGGGCTTTCTATTTGAGCCTTGTAGGAGCTTTCGGCCACGTGATTTACTGACTCAACTCAAAAAGGCTTCGAACTATTCACAGACCAATTTATTATATATAGTATTTTTTAAAAAAATTCAAGAATAGCTTTCACTCATTTGGAGAGGCAGCTTTTCCTTATGAAAGTGTTAAACCATGACGAGATTGTGAAGAGTATTAAATAAACTAAAGTCTCTATAGCTATCATTCGGGGATTGATGAAGTTTTACCTCACAAAGTTCGAAAGTACATATAGTATCCAATACACAAGAGTTTTCATCACATGCAGCATGACTAATGCATAACTTAGATGAACAAAATGCAGTATGTGTGATGTGCCCAAAAAAAACTAAAAGTTGCAAGTCTGGACACAGACAGTTGCAACAGTTTATGCAACTGCACAGATCAGACAATACAGATTCCAAGCGAATTTCGCAAGGAATCGAACCTATGTGCATCAAGGGGTTTAGTAAAGATGTCAGCAAGTTGTTTTTCTGTTGTGACATACTCTAATGAGACAGTTCCTTCCTCTACCAGATTTCTAATGAAGTGGTACCGGATTTCAATATGCTTAGTTCGAGAGTGCTGTACTGGATTTTTGGAAATATTAATTGCACTCATATTGTCACAATAAATATGCAATAAATCTTGAATAATACCATAATCACATACCATTTGTTTCATCCATAAGAGTTGGGCACAACAACTACCTGCGGCGATATATTCCGATTCGGCAGTGGAAAGCGAGATACTATTCTGTTTTTTGCTGTACCAGGACACGAGATTGTTACCAAGATAGAAGCATCCTCCAGTTGTGCTCTTTCGATCATCTGCATCACCTGCCCAATCTGCATCGCTAAAGCCTGCAAGTGTTGTGTTAGTATCCATAGAATACCAAATACCGAAATCAATTGTTCCACTTACGTAGCGAATGATTCGTTTCACAGCACTAAGGTGGCATTCCTTGGGATTGGATTGATACCTGGCACAAACTCCAACACTATAGCATATATCTGGTCGGCTAGAAGTAAGATATAAAAGACTACCTATCATGCTTCGATAAAGTGTGGGATCTACAGCTGTTGCATCCAACTGTCGCGACAGTTTGTCGTTCGTTCCCATAGGAGTTCTAACAGTTTTTGCAGATTCCAAACCAAAACGTTTTACAAGGTTTTTTGCATACTTGGATTGAGTTATGAAAATTCCATCACTCATTTGTTTAACTTGAAGACCTAAAAAATACGTGAGTTCCCCAACCATGCTCATTTCAAATTCACTAGACATTTGTTTAACAAATTCTTCGATTTTTGTTTGTGAGGTAGATCCAAAAACGATATCATCTACGTAAATTTGAGCAATCAGGATGTCTCCCTTTGATTTTTTAAAGAAAAGAGTTCGATCGACGCTACCCCTAGTGTATCCCTTGTGCGATAAAAATTCTGTAAGACGCTCATACCAGGCTCGAGGCGCTTGTTTGAGACCATACAGGGCTTTGTTTAATTTGAAAACATGCTTGGGATAATGTGGATCTTGAAATCCTTTGGGTTGTTCAACATAAACTTCTTCTTTTAAAATACCATTTAAGAAGGCGCTTTTGACATCCATTTGAAAAAGTTTGATTTTTAGAAAACAAGCAATGGCTAGGAGTAATCGAACAGATTCTAGTCTAGCAACAGGGGCAAAAGTTTCATCGAAGTCAATGCCTTCGATTTGACTATAGCCTTGAGCAACTAATCTAGCTTTGTTACGAACGATATTTCCGTGTTCATCAGACTTATTTTTAAAAACCCATTTTGTACCTATTATATTCACATTGTCAGGCCTAGGGACCAAGACCCAAACGTCATTCCTAACGAATTGTTCGAGTTCCTCATGCATGGCTTGAATCCAATATTCATCTAATAAGGCTTCTTTGACGTTTTTGGGTTCTATAGTCGAAGTAAAACAAACATACCTTGCCATTTCCTTGTAATTCACCTTGGGTTTACCTCGGGTTTGGATTCCTTCATCTACCGAACCAATGACTTGATCCACTGGATGATTCTTCTTGACTCTTCTTGAGGGTTCCTTGTGAGTTTGATCATTCAATTCGAGAGGCCTGACTTCAGCTTCATCTCCTGTTTCAGAATTGACGTCACTTTCTTCTGAAATGGTAGAGGCTGCATCAACTGTTGGAACTGTTGGTGCGACACTGGAGCTGTTTTCCGATTCCTTTGTTGGTTCCTCTTCCAGTGGTCCTTTCCAGATTTCGTACGGAGTTTTAGTGGTACCTGGTCGAAGATAGACTCGATTTATAATATGACATGCAGTGTTAACTGCTTCTGCCCAAAAACGAGGAGCGATCTCCTTTGCGTTCATCATGACCCTGGCCATCTCTTGCAGAGTGCGATTTTTGCGTTCAACCACTCCATTTTGTTGAGGTGTTTTAGGTGCGGAGAATTCATGAGATATTCCATATTTTTCACAAAAGTTAGTAAATAAGGAATTTTCAAATTCTCTCCCATGATCGCTCCTAATTCTCACGATGTTCTGCTGTTTCTCAACACTCACCTTTTTGCACAATTTTTTAAACACATCAAAAGAATCGGATTTTTCCCTAATAAATTCTACCCAAGTAAATCTAGAAAAATCATCTACACACACAAATATGTACCGTTTTCCACCTATACTCTCTACTTGCATTGGTCCCATAAGGTCCATGTGTAGAAGTTCTAGGTTTCCACTGGTTCTCACATTAGCTAAAGCCCTGTGTGAACTTTTGATTTGTTTACCCATTTTGCAATCACCACAGATTTTTCCTATTTCTTTAGTGAGTTTGGGCAGCCCTCTAACATACTCACAGCTGGAAATTTTTACGAGATTATCAAAGTTCAGATGTCCTAACCTTTTGTGCCAAAGCACTGTAGAGTCTGACAGACTGTTGAAACAGTTCATACCTGCAGAGACAAGAATATAGCAGTTGTCAGATGATCGAGTTCCTTGAATAACACAATTCTCGTCTTTGTCTAATACTCGACATGCGAATTTGTTGAATCTGACTTCAAGATCTTGATCACATAGCTGGCTGATGCTTATCAGATTTGACGTGAGTCCTTCTACAAGCAGTACATTCTTCAGCTTTGGCAGATTCTCATAATTTAGAGATCCTTTCCCTAGCACTTCACCCTTTTTTCCGTTTCCAAAGGTAACAGCTCCACCGGTGATTTGTTGATAGTTTTTCAGAAACTCTTTAACACCGGTCATATGTCGTGAACACCCACTGTCAAAATACCAATCATTAGTAGTACTTGCTTTTAAAGAAGTAATCGCCGATAAGCATTTAAACGTGGACTTTTCAACCCAAATTTTTTGCTGAGGTCTATTGGAAATATCAATTTTATTTTTGGGTTTTTGAGAGGGTGAAGGAAAATAATCAGCCCTAGCAGAGTAAAGAGAACGAGCCACAAGCTTTTTCACAAGTTTTAAATATTTGAAACATCTAGGACGTATGTGACCTAGTTTTTGACAGAAAAAACAAGTGGGAATAAACTTTTTCTTTGAATCGTGTTTCGTTGCTTCAACAGTTGCAACTGTTTGTGAGACAGAAGCTTGTTTAACAAAGTTGATTTTTCTGTTTTGATCTTCCTTTTGCTTTAGATCAACTTTGGGTAGCTGACTCCCTCCTATGCCTAGACGATTATAGTTTGGCTTGTTGTTGCTTAGGATTTCATCTAGATTACCTCTACCCAAGTTCAATTTTGCAATTGCTTCTTGAGTTTGAGTAAGTTTAGCCTGCAAACTTTTTTTCTCTTGATCACTAGATATGACCCTTTCCTCAAGAGTAGAGATTCTTACCTTCAGTGTCTTGTTTTCCTCTACAAGCACAAACTTCTCCTTTTCCAGGAAGTTATTTACCTTAACGACGTCGAGCCATTTTTGGTACATTTTTTCATATACCTCATTTACTTCATCCAAGGTTGGTTCTTCCTCATCACTGCTGCTGTTCGGATCCTCTGCAAAAGAAGAATTTTCGTTTAGATTTTTGTCATAGTCAGAACACATATTTTCATACCTGGATTCTGTTTCACAGTCTGTTGCAACAGTTGAAGCAACAGTTGATTCTGAGCTGTCCAGAGGAACTTTGCTGCTGAATGCTACGAAGTTAGTGACTTGATCGTTGCTTCCTTGGTCATCATCAGATTCTTCTTCATCGCTCCAAACAGTAGTAAGTGACATTTTCTTCTTTTTCTTCAGGGTGTTTGCGCATTCTGATTGAATGTGACCAAAACCTTCGCATTCTCGACATTGTATTCTTCTTGGTTTTGACTCCTCTGAGTTATCTTGATTTGAATTTCTCCTAGAATTTTGAAAATTCACGGGTTTCCCTGTGCTTGGAAGATTTCCCCTTTTTCCGATCTTTTTGAGAAATTTCCCAAAATTTTTCGATAGTAGTGCCAAGGTTTCTTCAACTGTTTGCTCATCTTCTTGAGTTGACGAATTTTGGGGCGTTGCATATGATGTTTCTGCTTGAAAGGCTATCTTCTTTTCTCTAGACTTTTCACGATGATTTTCACCATGATTGAGTTCTTGTGCTAGAAGTTTCCCCATGAGTTCGTCTAGTTTGAGCGTGTCAACGTCTCTGACTTCTTCAATGGCAGCAATTCGGTAAGCGAATCTTTCAGGTAATGAGCGCATCGCTTTTCTCACTAATTTGCTTTCTGAGTATGGTTCACCGAGTGCGTATGATTCATTGGAGATATCACATAATTTAGCATGGAAGTCAGTGATCGTCTCATTCTCCTCCATCTTCAAATTTTCGAATTTGGTGGCCAGCATTTGTAGCTTGGATGTCCTTACAGTTGACGTTCCTTCGTATGTGACTTGAAGGATTTCCCAAGCTCTTTTTGCAGATTCACAAGACGCTATTAGTTTGAATTGATTATCATCAACACCACTAAATATTGCGTTTAGGGCCCTTGAGTTGTAGTTTGCGAGTAGTATCTCTCCATCATTCCAATCTGCTTCTGGTTTGAATACTTCCATTTTGTCTTCTCCTTTGACCATGGGAGGTGTCCAACCAGTTATGATGGCGCGCCATGCTCTCTCATCTATGGATTTGATAAACATCTTCATTTTCGATTTCCAGTATGAGTAGTTGGAGCCGATTAGGAGAGGTGGACGAGTAGTTGAAGATCCTTCTCGTTGAGTATTCATATCTGCACAAAATAAGAGTAATCAGTTCCCAAAATCTCACTAGATGTATTTAGTGACAGGCTCTTGATGCCAATTGTTAGAATTTATTTCGTGCAGATATAAATTATTTGTGTCAGATTCAGTTTTTCGTTACTGTTGCGTGAAGTGTTGCAACAGTTCGTGAAGCAGTTCGTAAAAACAGAAATAAACGAGACACAAATTTTAATGTGGTTCGGATACAATTGTACCCTACATCCACGGGGACCTGCAAATGAAATTCACTAATTTTTAGTTTTACGAATACAGTAATAGGACTTAATCGAAAATGCAAAGACTCCCTCTTTGTCGACGCCGTTCTTGTATCCTACGCTAAATTGTCAATCTTCACTTTTGCAGTACGTCCCTTTCCGCACGGTTGAAATTCCTTCAACGCTGAGTCCCTCAGTCGGCGGATCGACCTCCTCCCGAGATCTTCTGAATTCTCCTCCCGAAGAATCGATCTTCTTTTCGGTGAAAGAAGCAAAACCTTTCTCTGTATTTTCTTCTTGGATTACGATCAAAGGTCTGGGGCAGCAACGTAAGAGCAGAAAAGAATTTTTTTTCTCTCAAAAATAAAAGGGACAATCGATAACCACGTTGATGCTGCCTTCTTATATTTCCTTTTGTTGAATTAGTAGAGCCCTACACAAGAAATAGAGCCCATTAGGTTAGATATAATCTTACGTAAGGAAAAAGAGTTATGCAAACAAGGAAAGTCTTATTCAAAGGAATTCCTTGTTAATAAAACACTTAGGTAATTAAATAAATTAATGACAAAATAAGAGTTTAAAGAACTAAGGAAACTTCCCTAGTTTTTATACACGTTTTTCGTATACGTCATGAAAAACCGAAATAGAATCCTCTCGGATTCTAGCATTTTTAATTAAGGGCCTCTATTTTGGATTTTTTTTCCTTTATTTATGTGCATATATGTATACAAATATTTTTAATTAAGGGCCTGAATTCCATTGGACTATCCCAAATGCAAGGGTCTCTATGGACGGCCAACATATTTATAAAGACCCGTGTATTCTTCGGGATAGTGTATCCCCCGATTGTGGAAGATTCGGTAGGCGACTTGGGAATCAGGATGGGTGCCGGTGGATATAAGCGAAGTGTTTCTTTGATAATTGCTTCCAAATATTTCAATTTCGGAATATGGAACTCTTCGACAATGTTGTTCGATCCCACTACTTCGGATAATTCTTTTTGCGCCTTGCTCATGACCTCGGGATTATTCATTAGCTCAGCAATTGCCCACTCAACTGTCCTTGTTGTACTATCAGTCCCGCCTCCCACGATATCCTATATAAGATAACAAATATTTAGAATTTCGATAGTTAGTCGCCGAATATAATCAAATTTATTTCCTAATTGAGTTTAGAATACGTACGGCTAACATGGCCTTGATTGTTGTATGACTAATTGACACGGCCGAATCTTCACTCTTTTGAAGGCCTAACAGGATTTGGAGAAAGTCCTTCCTTCCGGCCTCTCTCTTGATTTCTCCGGACGATTTGTTCTTGTGTTATGCAATAACGGCTTCAAAAATCGTGTCCGCGGATTGCATGTAACCCTCCATCTGTCTCTTTATACCTTGCATATCAAACCTGGCAAGAACTGGAAATAAATCAGAAACCTTTGGCTTTCCCAACAAATCGAGAATCTTCGAGACTAGGACAAAGAACTCTGCTTCGATTTTTGCGCCTAGTTCCCCTTCCACTATCCCGCCCCACATCATGTTCGTCATGAGATGAAGTGATGTTTGGAAAGTCAAATGGTCAATTTGAATGGGCTTCCCCATGTTGGCTTGCACGAATCTGACGGCCTTTCTGACCACGTCCTTACGGAGAGCGTTCGATGCCTCGAGCGAGGCTCGTTTGACTCATCATTTCTTGAATAAATATTTTTCTCATCGAAACCCAATGGGAATTGGGATCGGAGAAAATGATGTCGTTTCCGCCGTAAGAGGAAACGAGTGCCGCGACGGTAGTGTCACGAGTAGCAAAAATCGCGTCTTTGTTGCGGACCACCTCTTTCACAAGGGATGGTGAACTTATCACAACACAAAGTTTGCTACCGAGATAAATCTTAAAGATTGGACCATATTTGTGTCCTAAATCGGTGAAAGTTTGGAGGAAATTTTTGCCGAGAAACCGCAAATATCCGAGGATTGGAAGCCCGCGGGGACCGGGTGGCAAAGGAGGAGTTTTTTTAAGGAAGGATTTCAAGTAGCAGAAAATGAAGGACAATGACAGAGTTAACACAGAAAATAATATTGCTACTACATACAAATGATCCATGATGTTTAATTTGGTATACTTCTCCAATTGGTTTTCGTTTCCATCAAATTTATAAGTGGGTCGATACATAATACATGTATGTTTATATTTAATTCCACACTCCTGAAGCATGGCAAATATAAAAACAACTTTTAATAAACAAATATTATTAACCTAATCTCGATTGGTTCCATAAACACATGGCTACTATATTATATATAAAACAACAAAAAATAAACAAATATTATTAAGCCATCTTGTAATATACCTACAAGTCCTTACCTTTACCTTTATGAAGCGACCGGTTTGGTTCCATTAAATTCATCATTTTATTTAAGGGCGAATGGCAAAAAGGTCTATCATATAGAACTTAAATGCATTTTGGTCCATAAAAAATAGTCTCTCAATTAAACTCATCACCATATCTTTAGTCTAAAATACCCTCCATGATATAATTCTTATCAATTCCATTCATGATGCACTAACTTCCTTAATATTACACATTGACCCCGGATTTAAACAAATATATCACATTAACCCCCAAATTATTTTTTTTCTATGAAAATAAATTTTTTTCTGAATTTTCTTTCTCCGGCCAGATTCCGGCGTTGACTTTTTTTTTTAATTTTTTTTTTCCTGAATTTTTTTTTCCGGCCAGATTCCGGCGTTGACCGGTGGTTGACCGCCGGTCTCCGGCGTTGACTTTTTTTTTTTTTTTTTTTTTGAATTTTGTTTTTTCTTAGAAAAAAATATTTTAATTAATATCACTGTCTTGGCTACTAAATTACTGTCTCAAATAGTAATATTACTATTGGGACAGTAATATTATGAATATTATTTTCCCGAAGAGTAATATTATTAATATTATTGTCTAAAACATTAAATTATTGTTGGAGACAGTAAGTTAGCAGCTAAGGCAGTAATATTAAATAAAATGATTTTTTTTAAGAAAAAAATTTCAAAAAAAAAAAGAAGTCAATTAACTGTTAAATTACTGTCTCCGACAGTTAAATAACTGCTGGAAACAGTAATTTAGCAACGAATACAGTAATATTAATTAAAAATATTTTTTTTAAGAATAAAAAAGTCAATTAACAGTTAAATTAATGTCTCTGACAGTTAAAAAACTGCTGGAGACAGTAATTTAGCAACGAATACAGTAATATTAATTAAAATATTTGTAAAAAAAGTCAATTAACAGTTAAATTACTGTCTCCACCCCGTGATGTGATTAAGAGAAACTGATATTTAGTTAAATAACTGCTGGAGACAGTAATTTAGTAGCAAAGACAATAATATTAATTAAAATATTTTTGAAGAAAAAAAAAGTCAATTTACAATTAAATTACTGTCTGCGACAGTTAAATAACTGTCGAAGATAGTAATTTAGCAGCCAAGACAGTAATATTAATTAAAATATTTTTTTTAAAGAAAAAACAAAATTATAAAAAAAAAAAAAAAAAAAGTCAACGCCGGAGACCCGATGGTCAACGGCAATTGACCGGCTGGAAAAAAATTTCTGGGAATAAAATTTTTTTCAAAAAAAAAAAAAAAGTCAACGCCGGTCAACGCCGTCGACCGGCGGTCTCCGGTGGTGGCGGGTCAAAATTAAAATTAGGGTTAAAATTGGTTAATTGATGAAATTGAGCTAAATTGAGGTGTAAATCATGAAATTGGAATTAAATTGGGTTTCAATGAATTTGGGGTAATTTTGGTTTATATAAAAGGATTTTCCTTATTTGCAAATAAGTTTGAATGAGCTGGATTTATTTGAAAGACAAAAAAGTTGGATGTCCCTCTTTTAATTAAGTGCCCTTGTTATGGGCCTATTTGTCATTTGCCCTTTATTTAATAGGGTTATTTTACATACCTCTAGCCACCAAATAAATTAGGGATAAATTCAATCCCAAATCTTCCTTTACATACTCCTGGAGAAGCGAAAGTACTATACTAGCCTTTTATGGAATTTTCGATCAAACTGCATTCAACATATCTGGTCCTGCATTTATCATTTTTGCTAATTTATTTATTTATTATTATTATTTTTTTTTAATAATAATAAACCTGTTTGTGTGTATATATATATTAATTTATTTTTTAAATATTTTAATTTTCTTTTAATTTAAAAAAAATAATTTTTTTTAAAATTTATTTAAATTTTCAAAACAGTATGTTCACTATACTGAAAATAACTACATGTAACTATAGTGCCTATAGTAATTTGGAGTTATGTTCGTTTTTTTACCCTATATTTTTAGTCGATCAATTGTATACACACACGAATACTGGCTTATACAAAAGAAATTCATGTACCCCAACAAAAATTTACAAATTTCAATATTTTTATTATAAATCACCTCAGAACCAATAAAATACAAATCGAAAATACACAAATATATGCTTATGTAACTACATGTTACTATATGTATAGTAATGTATAGTAATGTATACAGTCTGTTGAACACTGTAACTTCAAACACATGTAACTTCAACCCAATTTTTGACACCTTGAAGGAGAGGATCAATGGCTTTCATTAAGCTGCAATTCCAAAAAAAAAAAAATTACATTAGTGCAAATCAACAAAATTTGAAGAAACGTCAAAAAACTCAAAAATCAACAAACTCTAAGAGATCAAGAGATAGAGAGAAATGTTATTGTTGGTAAATGCTACATATTTTAAATCAAACAGACAGTGACTCCTCACCCCCCTCGCCTCCTACCAAAAACCTAGTTGCCGCTAATAACCACCCACGGTTCCGCGCGCCCACAAATGCAAAAAATTATAGAAATAAATCACAAAACATAAAAATAACAAAATTACCATCAAAATATATATCTCGACGAGAGGAATCCAACGTGGGTAGGCCGTCAAATTTTGACTGGTGGAACACAAAATACACATCCGACAAGACCACCGTCGTCGAATGAACAAAAATTGCAGAAACATATCCAGCGCTCCAAACTGAATGAAATCACCTCGAAAAGAAAGAGCTCGACGAGAGGAATCCAAAGGTAGTTAAACCATCGAATTCCGACCACCGGAGAGAGAGTTATGACTCCGGGAAGCAATTTCGCCGGTGGGAGGTGTGTGGAGGCGGGATTTTGAATCTGGGAGAGGAAGAGAGAGACCGAAATGTGTTGGGCTAGGATTTAAAACAAATTTTAAAAGGGTAATATAGGGACTTCAGGGTGGCCCAGCGGGTATGTCAAAATATTTTCGAAATGAGAGGGGTTTCCCCTAGAGTGTAATCCACGTGGTAGTTAGTTCTATATAATTTGGAAATGAGGGGGGTCTACGAAATAATCACGATTTAAATTGAGTTTGAGAACCAATGCTGATAAGTGTTCGTTTTGCACGATTTTTGCTTATCGAATCTTCGAGTTTTGGTCTTCGTTCGTCCGAGTTTCGGCTTTATTTGTATATATTATTGCGTTTCTTGTTTTATTTCTTTTTTTAGGTTTTGTTAGCTTTTGTTGCCAAGTCGAAGCCATTTGGAAGCGAAACCGATTTTTCAAGCCGAGAAAGTGGTCAATAAGACCCAGATCGCGATCCAGGAAAGTCGGATCGCGATCTGGGGGCAAATTCCAGTAGCAAGCAAAGTTCAGACCCAGATCGCGATCCAGGAAAGTCGGATCGCGATCTGGTGACAAATTCCAGTGGCAATCAATATTCAGACCCAGATCGCGATCTGGGAGGCGGTTCACGTTTTTTTTGAGAAGCCAGATCGCGATCTGACTTTATTGGATCGCGATCTGGCACGATTTTCAAGGGCAGATATTTTAAATTGCAAAGCTTCTTGAGGAAGCTTTGCAATTTACTATAAATAGAAGCAAGCCCTCACTCTTCATTCTTCTTCGACTTTTTACGGTTTTCAACGGTTCTTCGCGGGAATCATCAACGGGGGTTCCGACTTGGGTTTTTCTTACGCAATTTCTTTACGTTTTGTTCTTCATTTCCTTTGTACATTCTTTTGATACTATGTTTGTTATGAACTAAGAACATTTTCTTCTGGGGTAATGAAGCCTTGTATATATTGATTTCGATCGTCATTTCTGCTATCTATTTGTCGTGTTTTGATTTCGTTTATGTTTTCCTGTATTAAATGCTTCTGATTGTGTTGATCAGCTCTCAGACTGATATTAAATAGGAATGAACTCGAGAGAGGATTTCTTGTTTGAAGTTAGGAGAACATAGCTCGGGGTGTGGAAACGGAGACGTGATGCACTTCGGGTAGCCCTTAAGGACTTGACCTAAATGCTCTCTTAATAGCAGGTTCTGAACGGAGACGTCGGACCTGTGGGTAGACTCTAGCTACACTGGAGACGGGGGTTAGAGTATATTAGCGTCTGGGTTAACGAATAGGAACGTGATTTTAGATAGCGGATTTGTCGATCGTTGTTGATTATACCTAGGTGGATTTGGCCCTAGAAGTCCCCTTTAAATCGAAGTCCCCCG